AAGCGCATCTGGAGACCAATGGGGAGCCAGTGCAGCTCGCGGAGGATAGGTGTAACATGGGTGTATCCAGATACACCCCATATCGCTCGCGCGGCTGCGTTCTGGACCAGCTGTAGTCTTCGAACACTCTTCAGGGGCAGCCCCATGTAGAGCACAATGATGGTTACCATCATTAAGCAAATCCCATGTCATTGTTAAGGGAGAACATCACATGGTCACCATTTGTGACCACCTGCTGCCTTCCCCATTGACTTTTTTTGTATGAAGCTGACAAAGAAGGTCACAAATTGCAATCCCACGATTAAGGATGTTGCAATGTCATAATTGTGAGCCAGCATACAACTGCCCAGATCACATTCACATGACTACATTGAGACCAATGTAGATATGTGGACCACTCATAAGTACCATTCTTTCCATGCTATCATGAGTTGAGTCACTGAATGAGTGGTTCTTGAGCAAACACTACTTTGTATATTACTCTGTCTTAGTATGTAGCAATGGACAAGGTGAGGAATTTCATTTTTCCTTTTGTTCTATATCGATACTTGTATGCTACTGCTTCTAGGTTACAAAGGACTCAGTATAGTTGCTAAAATCTGGGGACTAATTGTCAGAAATGAAAACAGAGTTATTTCTCCAGTGATATTTTTTATAATTGAGCAAATGTAGATGATATCTGTTTCAGTCCTAAAGGTGAAGTTGTTATTGGTTGTTTAGGAGAATGGCTTCTCAGTATTGGTACTGTGCAGTTACAGAATATTTTTACCAGGGACATTAACCTACTACTTTTGTCCCAGTCATTTTGACATTAATAATAATTCTTAATTCATTAAAGTTGTATGCAGCCCAACTTCCAGTGATCTGGGTGGCTCACAGCAAATAAAGAAATTATAATAAAATAAGTAAAAGTTGGCAAGTGTGTAGACCTTTTCACAGGCACTTGAAAATTATAGTTAAAGTTTAAATTTAATCCCTACGGTTGCATTATTTGAATAATGTTGTGCAACTTGATGTTTGCTTGCTGAATAAAGGGTTTTTGTGTGTGTCTATATATCTTACATAAGCAAATGAAAACAATGTTTAAAATAGTAAACATAAGAAGTAAACATACGTTTTTTCTATATTGTTCAGGAGAAGAAAGTAATGGACCTTTGTTTGAAAGTACATCAAATACAGATTCAGAATTTCCTGGCAATTCTGAGGTAAGCTTTTATTGTAAATATAAATGGTTTTATAAAATGAGATTGGATATTGATGGAAGTTTCTTGATAATAATTATAAACATTGCCAAACCTTATCCATTCAAGCCATATTTGTATGTTTTTAAAATTAGTATTTATTTTAAAAATACAATTTAAACATATATTTATAATAATAAGATTGTGCATTCTTGTTGGTTGTGGCCCTGCAGAATTTTATGTTTGTTAACTTTCCAGCACAATATAATTAGCAGTTTGCAATCTACTAGTAGCTACACTGATAAGCAACCATTCATAATATTCTGCTTTTCAAAAAAGATTTCAGTTCTTTCAATTCCAAGCCAATACATCTGGAGCAGACCTTATTGAGCAGAGCTGTTTTAAAATATGTTTTATTATTATTATTACCTCCATGGTTTGTCAGAAAGAAATCCTACATGCATAACTGATTGAAAACAATATCAAGTTAATTCTCAGTAAGTGTCCAATACAGGATCTAAATTTTATCCCAGAATGAGTTTTGAAGTACTAAATTGTATTTTAAAAGCATCATTAATGAGAATAGATGACCTGTAACACTGTTCAGCTTTTTCATTGCTAACCATTTGCAATATTGTATTTATTTTCTACATTTGATTGCTAAGGGGAAAAAATCAGTTTGGGAATGTGTGTATCTCATGCTCATTTTTCCATTCTTTCCATTAATTTGAGTTAATATTCATATAAGTGTCCACTAAACAACATTTTAACTAGTTAAGATAATACTGTTAAATCATTTCTCATGTGTTCCTGTTACTTTTAGGCCATCCTTAGATTTAAAAAAACCTAGACCAAAGCTATGCCAACTTTTGCTAACCTGAGTAGAAAATGACAGTGGGTACATTTTAATTACTTCTCCCCATCATATATATTAAAAACAGACTGGTAAACTCATGTCCCATTAAAAGGAAAGATTTTTTTTCTGCTTCAGGCTAATTTGGAATGGAACCATTTAGCCTGGACTGGGTCTCTTTTAAAAAGAATGGAGAAACTAATTCTTGTGTATCCAATTCCTGTTCATACCTGTCTATGGAACCTTCCATTTCAGACAATTCCACTTGTAAGAGCTACTAAGATAATAAAAATAAAAATAAAACAGTGATACCCATTGTCATCGGGGATTATTGGAACCATGCCCAATAATTTTATAAAACACATCAAGAATTTGCAGCTTCCTGCAATAACACCAGCGGAACTGCAAAAAACTACATTATTCAGAACATTGTACATCTTAAGAAGGTACTTGGTTGATACCTAGGACTCTGGCAGCAACCCATATCAACTATTAGCACCAGTCAATAGTATTTGCAATGCATATTTGAATGTTCAGTTTAGTTTCATGTTTAATGAATAAAGTATAATAATAATAATAACAACAACAACAACAATAATAATAATAAGGCAAAAATTCAACATGTTACCATAATAAGGCAAAAATTCAACATGTTACCAGAGCCAAGGTGGCGCAGTGGTTAAATGCAGCACTGCAGGCTACTGCTAGATCAGCAGGTCAGCGGTTCAAATCTCACCGGCTCAGGGTTGACTCAGCCTTCCATCCTTCCGAGGTGGGTAAAATGAGGACCCAGATTGTTGGGGGCAATATGCTGACTCTCTGTAAACTGCTTAGAGAGGCCTGAAAGGCCTATGAAGCGGTATATAAGTCTACTGCTATTGCTATTGCTATCAACAGCAAATGTCGCCTCTGCAATGAGAAAGAGGAGACAGTCGACTACTTGATCAGTGGGTGCAGCAAAATTTAACAGACGGACTACCTACAACGCTATGACCGCGTTACTAAGATCATTCCTTGGAAATTGTGCCAAAAGTTTGGATTTGAGCACAGATAAAACCACTGGGAACATCAGGTTCAGAAGGTTTTAGAGAAAGTCAAGATCCTGTGGGGCTTCAGAATTCAGACTGACAGGCACTTGGCCCACAACACACCTGACATAACAATAGTTGAAAAGAAAAAAAGTATGGTTCATTGGCATTGCAATACCTGAAGATGCACAAATTGAAGGTAAACAGCAAGAAAAAATCACAAAGTACTGGGACTTGCAAATTGAAGTTCAGGAACTGTGGAAAAAGAAACCGTGTGTTGTCCCGATTGTAATTGGAGCCCTTGGAGCAATACCCAAAGGGCTACCTTGCTATTTAGAAATTTTAAATTTATCAGACCTGAACATTCTGATTCTACAAAATACTACCCTACTTGGAACAGCTTATATCCTCCGACGTTACCTTAACAGTTCCTAGGTCCCTGGTTCGGACTCGAGCTACTAACCAGCCCCAAAGGCTGTGAATCTTTCCAAATAATAGTAATAATAATAGAACCACTCATGCAAATATCATTAGAAGCAGCCTCAATTCTTCTTCCTTAACAAAAATCAACTTCTAGGTTATATCAGCTTTCACCAACTTTCGAAAATAAGACTGCTTTTTAAATAAACCTAAATCTATTAACATTTCTAATTATGGAAATGGAATTAAGCATTTCCTAAGTTGCTTTTGGATACAGTCCGAGAAGAAACGAGAATTGGTCTTGAAGGCAAACAGAAAAATAGTACTAGCCAATATTGTCTTCTGTATAATTCTGTTGTGTGCTGTGATCTGATTCTTTTTACAAGTTTAATTCTATATGTAGATGAGAATTTATATATGGAAAGAGGTTAACTTTTGAAGAGGCCTGATGTTTTCTGACATTAATCACTATATTAGCCAGACATTCTCTTTCCCATGGTATACACTCCTCAACATGCCCTGAGATTAACATTTACTGTTTCATTTTGGAACCACATAATAGAAATTTCTTTGATTTGCACACTTGCTTATGCACCCTCTTTTCATTCAGGGCTGTGGGGAATGATATAAATAGAAGGGCTTATTGACTAGAATATGATAATATAAATTACATAATTCTAAAACAATTAAATAAAAATGTAAAAGAATGACATTTATATAATGTGGATAAAAAAGGGAAGGTGGGAAACTTTAAACAACTCAAATTCTACATGTATTTGTAATTACCATAGGCAATGAATTCTAGTTATATATCTAATTTGTTTCCTTAATTCACAATTTTTCTGACTTAGAAGTCACAGTGCTATTTGGTAAAGTTTTGAATGATCAAGAATAAATACTTTTGTTAATATTTATAACTATTGAGTTTTAGAACATCTTACCAGATTTCAAACTACTGTCTTGAAATTTCCAAAGAGTACAGACAAGGTTTGAATTAATTATCAAATATTATATTCTATATACCAAGAACAACAGAAAAAACCCTTATCCTGAAGTTTCAGTCAGGGTAATTTACAGAAGTTAGCAAAGGGATACAAATCAGTGCTCATAGTAAGATGTGGGAAAAAGGAGTGAAAAAAAATAGAGATGGCAGGCAAGGGAAGGATCAAAGCAGAAAAAAGCAAGGAATCAAATCAGTGAAGATTGTGCTAGGTGCAGATTGGGCTGATGGATAGTAAGAGAAAATGGCAAAAAGTAGGGAGCAGTTCTGACATGTTTTAATTTAGAATAGATAATGGAGGAGGTGTTGGAAGCAGATAAGGAATGGCTTTAGTTTAAGGTGGACAAATTAAGCATCAGGATAAGGCAGTGGGAATTGGACAGCAAGGTTGGATAGCTTTTGGCTATAAAGGCTGGATACACATTTACAATAATGTTAAAATATAAGAATTTCTAGCTCTTTAATTTTAGTTGATGGGCAGCAATCTATATTGCCTACAAGATAAATCAAAATATAAAAGAATGACATTTATATAAATGGAAATTTATATAATATTTATATTATATAAATATTTACAGTATATTATGAAAATAATATAAATATATTATACTTACAGTATGTGTATACAAAATATTTATATTATGGAAATATCATTAGGACAATTCATTTTATTCATAATGGTGTTGCTCAAATTAGTTCTGATAGATTACCAAATATGTATACCAAATATGTACACTTTGCTTTTTACAACAAATTGTCTATATTTTTATTTTAAGGAAGTTTGTACAGAGATGATCATTTATTTAAGTTTTTCAAACTAATTACAAACTAATAACCTAAGACTAGTTTAATTTTTTTACTAAATAACACTAAAACAAAATGCATGTTTGATAAAATTTTAAACATTCCCCAATACCTATTCATGAAGTTACTATATCTAGGTTATTGTTTCAGTTCCCCTATTTATATTTAAAACTAAATACTTCAATCATTTGTTCCCTTTTTTAATGTGTCACCATCGCATATCAATGTAATTCACTTCATTATGTTTAACTTCTATAGCAGCACAGGCATTAAATTATGTAAATAACTTTATTGTATTGAATTCAACATTTTCTTAAAACCTATTTCATTAGGTTTCCATTTTGTATGGTAGTATGGATTGTATTCCAAAGACTGCTAGACTTGAAAATTAAATATTGAAGTGAAACAAATTTGTGTAAGAATATTTAAATCACTTAAAAATACCAGGGCAAAATTTTTTATCGATTCCAAAATATATTATTGAGCCATTCTTTTATGTAGCCAACTTTAAAAAATTATAATCCTAAATGTTTTACAAAGTAGAGAAAATCCATTTGAAGCATAAGTTATTACTAGACTAAACAAGTAAATTACTTGTCTAAACAAGTAAAAGATGACAAATGGCCTAAGTGATCCATTTTTGTTTTAAGAATTAAACTGGGAATTATTCATCACCCTCATCCTATACCTGAGTTATAGATATTCACCAGTATTGCAAACAGCAAAAAAAATGCCACAGAATGTTATGGTTGCTGCATTTTTATAAGCATCCTGCTGCTTTTGCACCACACTAACAGCATTATATTTTTCCATGATGCCACTGGCAGGGCCTAAGTACCACTGAGACCACATTGCTCATCTCTGACCTTCAAGGGGTAAGCAGCTACAGGGGAAGTGGTTATATATTCCTGCATGGGTAGTATTGTGTTGCACTGTTTGCCAAAATGCAACAAAAGAAAAGAGAGAGAGAGGGGGGAAAATATTTTTCCAGTTTTCCTAAGATCTTTCAAAGAACCAAATTAGGTTTCAAAAGTCAGCAGATTGTGAATAGCAGATTTTTTCTGAAAAAGATTTGAACTTCAATTACAAGAATTCCCAGTTATATAAGAAAGTACAGTTCAGTCATGGATGAAAGATTAGAGGTTAAGTAAACCAGTTCTGTAGGCTTCTACATTTCTGAAATAATACCTTGATCAGGGGTGATTGCTTAAATACTACCGATTGCCTCACCAAATCTATAATCCTCTAATATTGGAAGAGGTTTTTTGGGGGGGAATCACTAAATGTATACTTGTATACAGAAAAATAAACATCTTTGAAAAGTCTACCTAACACTGAAAACTGGAAAGATTTTTGTTTTTCTTTTCTCTTCTTTTCTTTTTAGTTTTTGGTTTTGCTTTGGAATGAGTTTACATTAAGGGTCTGGGTCTTTTTTAACAGAACTTTGGCTTATTTATTAACACGACATTCATTTCTACAGCAACAAAAAATTGCATGCATTCTCTAAGTAAACTACGTACATCACTTCCCTGTAAGTTGTAGTAAAGGATTTAGTTTATATTTTGGGGCAGGGGGATTCTGAGTGGAATAGTTTTAAAGCTGAAGTCCAAGCAAGTAGCTTACTCTTATAAAGTAAACAATTTCTAATGAATAAAAATCAAAGTAAAACACTATCTTTCATTACCTCAATTTATTCTGAAAATAGACCTAAAATGTACATTTCTTTTACAAATAATTTAAATGTAATTAATACTGACCTAGTAACCTCTTCAGCTCCCTCCTCACATTGGGTAGTATCTTACTAATGTATGTTTTCTATTACTAATATGCTATTTTTGGCCATGGGTCTTTTGGGGCATTTATATAACTCATAGTTTTGATGTGGAAGCAGAGTTTTTCTATTATTATCTTTAAATAATATATGGCGAAAAGTATAATAATATTGAAAGAAAATGAAAGTAAATTCTGAAAACAAGTTACTCCAGGTTTGTGTTCTCTTTATGAATCGATATTTGAAAGGCTGGTGAAAAACATTTATTAAGGTTTGTATAACTTTTTATGTAACAAAATAAATAAACTATGCAGTTCTTTAAAAAAAAGTATAATGAACATTCATATTCTTCTGGTTTATGCTGTAATATCTTGAAAAACGTTCAGAACACAAACAGCACAAAAAGGCTACATTGTTTTGTATATGTAATATAAAAGGATATTAATGTGTGATGTGTGTTCACAGCTTTTCTTTAATATAAGATCTTAATCTGGGAAGGCATGTTTTGTTATGATAGTGGTATTGCAGAAATAATATAATGACATTTTCTCCTATGAGACAGTACAATACAAAAAGTCCAGTTTCATTGAGTTTTTCCTGCAGATTTTGCTTAAGGATGATTTACTTAAAAATGAATCTAAAATCTTCAGGATGCTCCATGTCATCTTCTGCAATTGTACCAAATGTTGGATTTTCATAATTCTGATCATAACTATATACTAATTTCATAGTATACAATGTTTTGTTATATGGATTAATGCAATAATGTGCATGTTTGCTAAGAATAATTTTTTGGGGAGTATAGTGGAACTTATTTTTAGATAAGAATATATGAGACTGCAATTAAAAAAAAACTGATGAACCTACCACCCTTCTAGCAATATACTGGCAACATGCACTTGGAAAAACAAATAGCATTTGCTCTCTTTTCCTGCTCTTTTACCCCCTTGCAAAACAAATAAATGAATCATCTCCTCATAGCAGAGATTTGGGAGTATGTGGTTTCTTCAGTCTCTCCAGACTTCTACATTCAGACCCGGCCACATTTTTCAGAGTTTCATCATTTTAGGGAGGAAAAAAAAACCACAGCTGTGAAAGTTAATTGAGAGATAAATGGGGATTTATCCAAGATCAGGTTCCCCTTTCTAAATCAAAATTCTTTTCCTGCCTCAGAAGTTAAAGCCACTTTGTACTAAATATTGATACATGTAGCAAGAGACATGTTACATCTTGTTCTGGATTTATGGATAAAAGAAGTTCAAGTATTTAATAGTATCACATTTTGATGAAAACTAAGGTCAGGAATAAAATAAGACTTACAGTATAGCTGTTCCTAACCCTGCAAGAGAAAGGGCACGATACATCACTAATGATGCATTATAGCATAACTCTAAAAGCATGGGAACTGGCTCTGAAGAATCTAACTTCTCCATATTGGTCACATGAATATTATTGTATAGCTCTAAATCAGTGGTGTCAAACTCAAGACTCACGGGCCAGATGCGACCCATGGGGTGGTTAAATCTGGCCTGTAGGGCCAGCCTGGAAATAGTAAAAGACTGGCCTGCAGTGCCTCTGGCAGCCAAAATGGGGCTGGGAGAGGCTGTGCATGGTCCCCTGCATCCCATTTTCAGCCTAGATGACCACCTGCAGCACTCTGCTGGCCAAAGTGCTGCAGGAGGATGACCAGGCCTAAAAAGGGGTGTCGGGCTGGGACACATGTATTCCCCTGCACCTTGTTTTGGCCAGCAAAGTGCTGCAGGAGACCGTTTGTTCGGTGTCTCCCCCGGTCTGTGGTGGAGAACTACAATGCTGATCCGGCACTCGAAGAAATCCAGTTTGACACCCCTGCTCTAAATGAATATTGTTTTGTTGTAAGGATTAATTACCAAATATTTAATCTGGATAGGATAAGAAAATGAATCTTTTATATTTGTTAAGAATCCAACTTCTTATGTAACTTCTTTCTTTAACTTAATATAAAGGTAAAACAAATAATTCAGGAAGTCTATAAATAAAAGAACAGATCCTCAAAAGACAATGTCAATTCTTGTGACAGAACACCATTCATTTTTGTTGTAATGCCACCAGTTGGATCCAATCTGGTAACTTTCATCCATGAATAATAAATATGAAGGAGTTTTGAAAACATTGACTCTACGTTTCCTAAGAAGGCTGTGGGTGGCTATTCTGAATGTTACAACACCCTTCATTAATCTGGCTTCCTTCAGATGTGTTGAAGCATTCCAAATAGCAGGTCTGCAGGTTCTGGCAGTTTTTAGCATAGTCGCCTTGAGTTGCCATGTGGGAATAGGCGGCAATATAAATTTCCTAAAATAAATAAATATCTGGAGGACAGCAGGTGGTGGAAGGTTTTTCTTGAAGACCTACACAGGCATTTCTTGTCCATTTGTTTCCTTCAGATTGTGAACTTATTCAATAGTCTGGAAAAAATTACTTCAATCCCTTGATCATACAAAAGTTGTAGTGTTAGGGATTTTTTTTAGAGAGAGTTTGCTCATATATTAACACCCTGTTGGTTATTCCAGAAGTCTGGAAGGAGATTCAATCTGTTCCTGAAACGACGTCTCAGGGTAAACCATTGACAAATTGTACCACTAACACCTGGATGGCTGCAGTGATAACAAGCTTCATTATGTGATGTCTCTCTTTAATAGGGAACAAGATGAAGTAATGAATTTTACTTAAACAAATAAATATAAATCATACACATTTCTGTCAAAGGATATGATCCTAAAGATGCCTATATAGTGCCTGTTTTATTGAATGACATGAAACAGACTTATTTTATAACTTCTTAATTGCTAATTATATTTTGACACAATTGAAAAATATATTTTTCTTTAGAATAATTCTTGACATAAAATGCTATTTAGAAAAGTCTAGCATTTTAAAAATAGGTATAAACCATTTAGATAGTAAATATGAGGTTGCAAACTCAAAATTCATCTGTAGGCTATACTCAGCCTCGTAGTAGTTACCTTATGTGTAGGGTATTATATTTACTCAAACATGATCAAATAATAGAAGGGCTGCAGGAACACTTAAAGATTATTTTATCTTACCTCAAGCCTACTGTAAGAAACCACCAACATGGTGGTTTTAGGTGAACCATGCCATTGATATCCATACAGATGCCTTAAGTGTGAAATCAGCACACACCGTTTTTATTAACATCCAAAGAAGTAATATAGAATTGGGGAGATACCACAGCCATAATCACACACAAATACATACAGCATTAAAATAACTAGGCAGCATTTTATTACAATATATTTGTCAGGCCTAAGCCTAAGGATAACACAGTAAGTTTTTTATTTGCTTACACCTGATAGAATCTTTTCAGATGAAATATATAACCTTCAAACCTAATAGATATGTTCTGGGAGATTCTAGGAAAGGGTATCTTGCACCTCTTTCCCTCTCCTCCATCCAGTGCGGAACTGTGCAGTGTCTTATTTTGAGGCTCTCTTTGTGCTGTCTCCCACCTGGGAAGCTATGGTGCTGTCCCAGTAGTGGGTTGCAGACGGTATGCCCCAGTACAGGCATACCGGAGTTTTCCTGGAGCACCGGTTACCGTTCTGATATGGTGCTCCGGAGGGCCCATCCACCTGCCCGTTCCTTACCTGTCTTTTAAGTCTTCAGCACTTCTGCACATGTGCACGGCATGTACAGCACCTGTGCGATGCTGTACAGCTGGAGCATCGTGGAGGCTCGCGGAGGTGCTAAGATGCACCAGTTGGAACAGGATCTGGAACCAACCACTGTGCTGTCCCAACTCCTCCAACTGCATATTCCATCAGAACATTCAATCCTTTGGAATAAATGGATCATTAATGTCTGGACCAGTTGGATTCTGAAGATTTAATTCTCAAAAAATTCAAAATGGCAGCCTCCAAAGTTTGCTACCTTTATTGCTCCACTGGCAGCTAATTTCATGCCTAAAGTAGGACTAGAACTCCCAATCTGCTGGTTTCTAGCCGTACCTTGAGACCGCTACATTAAATAGAACCTCAACAACAAGTCTTGACCCAATCATTCCTCTTCCCTATTTATTCTTCCAATCAAATACCATTAGAAACCAGCCTAAGTTCCTCAATGTAGGTGATGCACGTGCTCCCAGAAAGCCTGATGACACTCAAGCTTTTTCCCTCCCTTCTCCTTTTCCTTTTTCTAAACACCATCCCCAGAAACAGTATCTGAAGGAAGTGCCATCTGAGAATATTGAAGTATCGATTGGTAGGAAAGACTGACAAGAAACTGTTCTGGACTTTCCCCCCTAAAGTTTCCATCTTTTATATTTTATTTTATTTTTATTTATTTATTTATTTTTAGGTAGATACTGTATATAAATTATAAAATTTATGACAGCGTGATGATTACTAATCTCCTTTTGAAAGTAAGAAATTTAAAAACAAACATTTAAACAATATTCCCCAAACCTGTGCAATTGTAAATACTTTCCATTCTCATAAAATCTGCAGTCAGGTAGATTTCATTTCTCCGCATCTTGTTTTCCTAAATTATAATATTACAGCACTTACTCTTTATTTTCAGAGCTGCTTCTGTGCTTTCTGCTTTTATTTGTTGTCACTTTATACAGTGAAATGTACAAAATTGCACTGGGACTAAAATACTTCTGCAACATAAAAGAGCATTTCAAAGTAGCAACCCTGCGTCCTCGTTCAAATGTATGTTGACTAGCTTCTTTATTCTGTGGCGAACGTGTGAGTCATAGTGTAGGCTTCAGATGTTACTGTTTAATAAATACCTTTATAACAGGGTGACTTCATTGTGGCAAATGTCTCTGCATTTGTGCTTGCTTATTTATGAAGAAAGTCAGTCATGTCCGTGTTTCGCTGTGCAAATATAAGAAAAATATATTTTGTAACTGTGTTGCAAATATTTGTCTGAAAATAAATGTTATTTAAACTTATTTGACCTTAGAATTTTCCTAGAACTGAACGCTTGAAAAAAACTGAAATACATGTGGATATTTAATATATGTACAATGGATGCTGACACAGTGATGCTTTCTGTTCTCTCTAGATTGATAAGAGGCACCAAAGCAAGGATTCTGTTTTCTTCAGAGATGGTATACGGAGAGTAGATTTTGTACTTACTTACGTGGATGACCCAAAAATTGATGGAGAAAAAAAAGCGGTAAGCATCTTTTATGACTTCTGAATTTAGGGCATAATTTTGCTTTATGTATAGCAACAACCTGGTTATAAAGTCTGTGCAGTTTTGCTTGTATTTTGTTATTGAGTTCTGTCCCTTCCATGTCACGACACCATTGTAATGGGTTCTCTTCACAATGAAATTAATTCTCTTTCATCTCTACAAACCAGAATCAGTTTTTTTCTAAAGTAATTGTTGATGTAATGTTAAAATAAATTATGTTTGATAATGCCAGTTGTGCTGCATGCAAAAAAAGATAAGATTCTTTTTTTCCTGCCAAAGTTTGCTTTACCGCTTGCAGACTTGAGCAATCTCTTATATACTATGCAAGGCAAAGTCCTTCATCTAGATCATGGGTGTCAAATTCGATTGCATCATGTATCTTGACATTTTTTTGCCTTTGTCGAGCTGGGGTGGGTGGGTAGCCTGCCTGTAACGCATCTGGCCCTCAGCCACCAGTTTCACTGGCCTGATCTAGATAAGGTGCTTCATGTTACAATACTTCATCCTGACATACTGTATTTTGTGACAATTTAAGATTTCCTGTGGCTGGAACATGCTTTCGGAAACATACACAAATTTATGGTGGTGCCTGGAAGACTTCCTGTGGCTAAAAGATGCTTCTGCAGTTTCTGATAGCTTTCTCTTACTTGGTATCCTCCAAATATATTGGCTTTCAAAGCCCATCATTTCCCTGGCTAAGGATTATTGAAGTCTAGAACACTGGGCAACATCAGGATAGGAAAGAAAAGTGACTACCAGTCATACGGGGGAAAAACATTCCCTGGGTGTGTATGAATACCATTATTTTTTGATTGAAAAAAATCATTCAAATACCAGACACATAAGTCATAATTACTTCATGTACTCACAAGCTTTTCAGATTTCTGACCAAGTGCTTCTCAAAGGCATCTGAGTGTGCTCCTTATATAGAAACTCAAATAGATCTATTTGATTTCAGTTTGATCTAACAGGACTATTTTTTTTATTTTAAGAAAAAGTTTTTTTAAAAAAATCCTTACTATTCCTTCTCCCCCCATTATTTTTCTTTTATTTTCTATGGGAATAGTGAAATTTTGTACATTACGTAGTATAGAGTAGTACATTTAATTCAGTGGTGGGATTCAAATAATTTAACAACCAGTTCTCTGCCCTGATGACCAGCTGGGAAGGCGGGGATCAGTGGTCATGTGACTGGGTGGGCGTGGCCAACTCAAGGTCACTCAGGTCGATGGGCGCTTCACTTTAGCTGTTACAATGTAACAAGGGTTAACTGAAGAGGTAGTTTCTGTAAGTAGGGTAATAAAGATTAGGCTAGAAACAACACCAGAATGTTTCCTCTGTAAAGTGGGGTGGGGGAACAAAATGAGATTTCTTCCAACAACCGGTTCTCTGAACTGCTTAGAAAGTTAAGAACCAGTTCTCCCGAATAGGTGCAAACTGGCTGAATCCCACCACTGATTTAATTATATTAAGTTTCTTGTTATAGTTTATGCTGCTGTTTTAAGAAAAATAACATTTTTTTAGTTTCATAACTGATGTATCCTATAAACCTTTTACAATATGGAAGCATCTTGCACATATAATCATGTGAAAAAATAAATATACCCAATGTAAAGTCCCCCCCCCCTGTATATATTTATATTTTATCTTTATTCAAACCAAGTATAAAGGATAGGATGATATAATTAAACAAAAAAAATCCTTATACAACAATTTTTGGTCTTTGACTCAGTCAGGATTTCCCAAACTTGGGAATTTTTCAGAATCTGGACTTCAACTCCCAGAATTCCATAGCCAATTTGACAAATGATGAGAATTCTGAGTGTTTGTTGAGATCCATACTCCCAGAAATACCCAAGACTGAGAAATGCTGGCCTACTTGTTCATGAGGAAACTTGTTTTTTTTTTTTAAAAAAAAAAAAAGTTAAAAACTATTCCTCCTAAATCAAATATCCATGTTTGTTTCTCAAAACTGTTTCGTATCAGTGCTCTATTTCTTTAATTGCTGGTTATTCAACATTTTATGGTTGGATGGTGTATTTTTATTTTTGCAAGCTATCTTAGGGAAGAAATAATTATTTATCAAATTTATATAGCCATCCATCTCACCAAAGGCAGCTCTGGGTGGCAGACATCAGATTAAAAAACAAATATATACAATCAATATTAAAATATCATAAAAGCTAAAATTACAAATTCTGAGAGGGGGGGAATACACATTTGTGGAATCATCTAAGTACCTATCCAGTTCCACCATAGTAAAATCTTAAGGGCTTTTCAGAATCCCAAAGGAGAGAACTTTTGGGATTCTGGGGGAGGGAATGTTCCATAAGTTTTAGAATTTTTCTAAATAATTACATAATTAGTGAGAAAACATTTGTATAGTGAATTTCTTTTCCATAAAACCTATTTCAATATATTTTTGTTCTGTACTATACTATATTTCTGAAGCACAGGACTTGGCAATGTTATGTTGATTAACAAAGGAAGCATTGTTGGGGAAATCTATGCTGGGGGCTTGTTTTAGAAGTTTTTGTACTTTATTAAGAACTGAGGTGACACAGTCATTGGAGTGTAGTGTTGCAGGCTATTTCAGCTGACTGCTAGCTGCAGTTCAGCAGTTCAAATCTCATGGGCTCAAGATTGACTCAGCCTTCCATCTTTCTGAGGTGGGTAAAATAAGGATTCAGAGTGTTGTGGGCAATATGCTGACTCTGTAAGCTGCTTACAGAGGGCTGTAAAAGTACTATGAAGCAGTATATAAGTCTAAGTGCTATTGCTATTTTACATTCTTATTATGCTAATGGAGCACTTAAATTCTCCTGAAAAGTTTCTGGAAAAATGCTTTGCTTCTGAGTAACCAAACTTGAGGAAATTTTTGGTATTTCCCCAAAAGCTTTTCTGAGCTTTGTTGGATTAAGAAGAACAAGATTATGTACTTTAATAATTTGATATCTGAAGAACTTGCTGGCCATTTTTTACCTATCTGATTGGCTTTTTGTACAAACTTTTTAAAAAGTTTTTTAAAAGTGTGTGTGTATGCAATGTGACATGACCATTCTTAACAAGGACCAGATTTCAAAACAACTGCCATATTGTGCACCTTTTTACTTTAATATGCTGAATGAACCTTTTATTTTAATATGCTTAGTCATTTTTCTCTCCATGGGAGAAAAAACATGGGATGGAAAAACTAGTTTTGAACACTAGAAATAAATTTTGCAACCTTTCAGCAAATAGATCCCCTTCAGAGCTATAAAGTGCTATTTTCCATTGGCAATGTATTTAAATAGGGTCCATGGTACAATTTTTGTAGCACCTCTGAATCCACATATGCATTTAAGGTTCAACATATAACTACAGCAGTAAGTGGCCACTAATTTTAGGAAATTATTCAGCTTGAAAGGGATTTGACTGAATCATTCCATCAAAAGAGGTCTAAAAACAGAATGGTACCTTTTCATTACTGATTTAGTGTAACTGTACTATTTCAGTGTAGAAGTATCTAAGTTTCACAGTGATTTTCTAGATATGGGTAGCATATGGATTGAGAACTGATCCCATCTCAATTCTTCATAAGGCAGATTGCTTTGTTTCAAATGCAAAAGAAGATTCACCTTTGATAGATGCACCTAAAACACAGTGAAACCATTTTGCATATGCCTAATGGCTGTACCAGATCTTCCTGACTTTGCAATTTAACTTAACATCTGTCCTGGAAGAAAAAATTCTACTCCCAATGGTCTAAGGCTAATCTACATTTTATTAGAAATTGTCATATATTTAATACTGTGTACATATGTTGAATTGGAATTGGGGATGAATTAGAACCACAGCATGCAGGATCCATGCTAAACTGTTGATTCCCCAGTTACTATTTTGATAGAAGAGAAGCTGTCTTATCATGGCTCATGATTGTGATCTGTTTATATGCAGTGCATAAACATATCATGTTGCTCCAGATGCTGCTACAAGCAGGTGGCATTTGAACTCTTCAGTTGTGTTTCCCCAAACTTGAGTTTGTTTTATCTTATCCACCTTCTCTAATGTTTTCTGAATTATGACCTCTATAACTTATCAGGCAGTAAAAGAGACAATGGGAGATTTGCACTAAAGTCTTGCAAGATTCTGTTAGTACAGCCTTAGAATAAAGTAGAATTAAATAATCTGATCATGTTTCTTATCTGTCCATGGAAAGGTTGGCATTAATCTTCTTTTTTTATAGCCTGATAAGTTAGGGAGGTTCCTTTCTCTGCCTGATATGCAGCTGAGGGCTTTGCCCTCTCTTATCTGATTATTCCCTAGGCAGCATCTCTTTCTTCCACCCAATCACCCAAGATCATTCCCACACACCATTACAGGAATAAATGACAAAAAGATTATTAAAACTTTGATTTTACAAAGTTACAAACAGACTAAAGAGCCACATAAATATTATTTGGGATTGATTATAAGAAACTTTCCTGTTGAAAATGCTTTTATTTTGAATTAAAAACAAACAAACAAGGCAAGCCTTTAAAATTGGGCACTAGAGGATACTAGAAGGAACTAAACATTAGTGTTAAAGGAGAAGAACCCTCAGAGTCAACTTACTAATATAGAATGAAACAATATATTTTAACTTTGGACATTTTAAATAAGGGGCCCAGAAGTTAATTTTAAGAATCTGCATCTGTAGATAAATGTTGTTTAAAAGAGGTTATGGAACAAGTATGGCATGATTGAGACTGATTTCAAAGTGGATTTAAAAATAATAGGTTACAAGAGTCACATAGAAAAAGATGTTGTACTAAAC